TTCCCCGTTATCTCTTCCCGGATCTCTCCCTCTATCTTTTATCCCCAGTACCAGTCCTTAGTTTCTAGTGAAGTGTTTTATTTGGCTTTACTCGTTGATGATCACATTTTTAGATTCTTCGTCAAGGAATCTTATTGTCGTGTCGGTGGACGTCTTACTTTTCGCTAATATCCAGTAGAACCCATTCCTTAGCGGCTCTAATCTATCGGTTTTTGTTCAAACGCACAACGTGTCCGGCTCAATTGATTCCCGATATTCTGACATGTATGATGGCTAGTCGACTTTATAGTGGTGGTTGATCATTCCCTGACGAATGCGCCAAGCATCCGACTTCATAAAGCATCATTGAACATGATCGAATAAATATCTGAGCTGTAAAGTAACTTTCGGTGGTCTACGGATCCATAGAGTCTGTATGGCAATCCCGCGAGACAAGTCTGCTACAGACTGGTCAAGCCCAGAGGTATGTGGCTTGGAGAGAGCCGGCGCAGGATCGAACCAACGACCGCGTATGTATTGCAAGATACAACCAATCACTGTACTACAATGCCACTGTTGACCATGTACGGGACTTTGTGCTCATATGATCAGAAGCAAGAATAACTTATTAATGACTTAGAAGGACGGGGTTATAGCTTGATTGAATAGAATCGTCACAAATCGCTCGCATAAGCAACTAACGATTAGTTCGAATGAATACGTAAAGAGAACAGCGTATGGGTTGAGAATTATCGTCAGTTGTCAAAGAACGAGAGGACACTTCTCATCGCAAATGTATTGAAATTAATGTCAAAAAACTTAGTATGGGTGGACGATTGTACTCTCTACGGACGCTCGTAGCCCAATGGTTGAAGGCGCTATGCAGTACACATGGGACCGAGCCCCGTGCCCCCGGCCCGCCAAGCCATCCATCCTTCCGGGATCTGCAAAGTGGTAGCAGACTTGTCTGGGAGGATAGCAGCACTGGCTCGATACATCGGTAGGCCACTGCGAGTCATTGTAAAGGCGAGATATGCAATCAGTCACCTCCAACGATGTTTAATGAAATCGAATACATGGCGCACTCCACAAGTATTGATCAACGCCGATAGCTTTATTCTTTATCATTTTATTGTTACTCTGCATGTATTTAATTATGAATGTCCACATAATGGTTACAGTTCATCGCATGAGATTATAAGTAACGTGGAACTAACTAAAAGAGATGGTGGCTGGTTGGAGAAGCTCTTCAATATAGACGTGGTCATTGTTCTAATCCATGGATCCGAACTGAGCAAGCCATCCATCCTCTCGGTACCGGCAGATTTGTACCATACCTGTATGGGGGTCCCGAATAAAGTTCCTTATGAACCTCATGTTAACTTGTCAATGAAAGAATACATGTTGGTTATTCATACCGAGGTAGAAGGGAAGTCGGTTTCTGAAATAAAAACATTGAATATAATGCTGAGATATTTGCAAAACTCCGGACCGCAGGTGTATGCGGTGGGGAACGAACGCACGCTATTGTCCTTTCCGGGGAGTAGCGCACTTCACCACCACACCATCCGGGTCTTCGTTTTGCCTGTCTCTAAGTTAGTTCTATTGCTCTTTTGCCATCAGCAATCACCCGTCAACGGGATTGATCTGGGGAGCCATTATCGGCATTGAACCCAATTAAGCTGAGGCTTAGTTATAATCACAATCTTAACCCTTTTATTTACTGATGGCAAGAGATCAATAGAACTAGCTGAGAGACAGGCAAAACGAAGGACCCGGATGGTGTGGTGGTGAAGTGCGCTACTCCCCGGAAAGGACAATGGCGCGCGTTCGTTATCCACCGCATACACCTGCGGTCCGGAGTTTTGCAAATATCTCAGCATTATACACGAGTTATATTTCGCAACCCCGCCATTAAAAAGGAAAAAAAGGCAGTAAATAAAAGGGTTAAAAACATTGAGTCGATACATCGGTAAGCTTCCCGAAGTCATCGCTTAGATGAATTAGGTATTCCTTCGCCTATGTGGTGCTACGAATGGAGTCGAATGCATGGAGTAACGCTAATTGTGTAACAACACGGAGTGGTTCATTTTTCTATCTTTTGTGTAAAATTTTTGTAACACTAACAATATCGAACGAGCGTAGTTCTTCGTATGTGACTCTGAGCACGTTTATTTCGTTGGGATTGCCACTAAACCACATTTTTGCTGGGTGGTTTACTATTCAAATATGATGAAGCTGAAGGGATTAACCCATAAGGTCCGATGTTGATGGATTCATAGAGGTAGAACAATAAAATCTCTTCTACAATTCTGCAACCCGAAACCCCTATTGTTTCTCAGTTAAAATTATTTTTTGCTCTCAGAAAACCAAAAAGTTCGCGGCCGACCAAAATTTGCTCCTGTTCCATTCGAAGAGTCATGCTAAACGACTCGTGGCCGTTATGGAGACAGAGAACTATGGATTATATGCGGTTTCTGTGTAAAGTTTTTACTAGAAAACGAACGATGTGCCTTAAGCTCACTAAAACCCTACTAAATCCAGTGCTGTTTTCTTACGTCACATAGTGGTTTTATTAGCACAGTGGGAATACGCGTGCTTCCATACGACTGCTGGGAAGGAGGCTCGAACAGCCAATGAGCAAGTCCGTTTTATACAAACTAGAAACATTTCACTGCTTTTCTCTGTCACAGTTCGATGGGGTTTCTGGACAGATTGGGATCTGTATCACAGTGCCTTGTATTTTGTTACGGCTCAAACTATTACAGCTATTGTGAAAACATTCCTAGAAACACTTGATCCATTTCTTATTGAGGGGACCACTTTTTCTTATTGCCCTTTCTCTCAACGACCGGTTACAATATAAAGAAAATAACGATTATGTAGAGTTTTTCAGTACGATTGTTCTTCGTGAATCGAATCCTACATGCATTTCTTAACATCCATTCGTTAAGGTCCATATTAGAATCACAAACTTTCAGCACAGGTTACAAAATGCCGAAAGATAGTATGAAGAAGGTGCTGGAAGATTATCTAAATGAGGAACTGATACCATTTGGTCGTAGTGGAGGCGGTTGTATCAATTCCGGCGGTGGTTACGAAACCCAATCATTTGGCAAGGTGTTCGTGAAGTCAAACATCAAGAAAGGAGTGAGTATTTGTAAAATAGTATCGCTACAACTTAGTATACTAGGAATTGTTTCATTTTTCAAGCATAAGTCCTATCTCGTTAGTTGAACTGTCTTCGATAGATTGTCAGAAAAGTTCCCATTTATAGCAAGGGAACTAAGCTTTTTAAATTCCACGTCTGCTACAGCTCTAATTCGATCAATCATTGAGTAACTCGGGTGGGGACAAGTAAAGCTTTTTTCTTCTATGCTTGTAGTATTCTAGAGCTGCTCATAAGTCCTAGTCGTGCGAAAAATGTGTGGACTTTCAGAATTCGTACGGGGGCTTTTTTTTATGAGTAGGGTACCTAATAGTAGGTCTCCGGGTTTTGCTTTGGTCGCTTGAGTACAATCAAAGATAAATTTTCACATTCTTTGGAAGTGCAGGCGGTGGCTCATTTGTTGCGAATGAAATTGAACCGCCACTTATGTTGTTTCCTCTCTTCTAAACAGAGGCTTTAGGGGTGTTAAAGCGGAAAGGCATGAGTTAGTTAAGTAAAGCAGGACTACGGAGTTCATCCTCTGCTTGCACTTACTTCTGAGATCTGGTCACTGTTATCCATTTGCGTTTATCAACATATCGTCCACATTTGGGCATGGAATGAGCTGAGATGGTTTGTACGGACGCACACATGTGTTTAAATTATTGGGAGATTGGACATTAAGGCAAGCCTTTAAGAAGACGGGAAATACATGATGTTTTTAAATAAATGTGCTTACAACCACAATGGTGCTGAGATGTTTCCAAAACTCCGGACCGCGGGTATTTGCGGTGGAGATCGAACCCGCTATTACGCTTTCCAGCGGCCAACGTTTTCACCACACTTAGTAAACACAAAGGTTCTATACTTCTTTGGAAATCAAAATGTTGTATTATAGGCCGATATTATGTTTCGAGGCGAAGCAGCTTCGTTGAAAGCAATAGTTGAAACTAATACTGTACGAGCGCCTAAACCGATCGATGTTGTCAACCTTGGAGGTGAGCTCACATAATTCTTTATGTTCCTTTTATTCTTCATAGTCTTACAGGACGTAATATCCTGATACAGTTAGCCATCTTTGTGGGGCTACGGTATACGTCATTCGATCCCCTTAGATCAGTTTAAGAAACTTTCCACTTATAAACTTGTTTAAAACGCTAGTACATCCGGCATCAATTCTGGTGCCTTTTGAAAGTTGTTAGATTGACATTTTGTTGTAGCCAAGTCGTTAATACTATTGGGAAAATGGAAAAGGAAACAGGCAAAAATAAATATCTTGCTTGTTTTTTTTTCCACAGACGTTCCTTTTTTCTTCTCTGAAGGATTTTCGTGTAGTAGCCACAGCAGCCATTTTGAATCGGATTTCATAGATAATTTTACTTACTGAACATATTTTGTGTGTAGCAATAACCTATCCCCATTTAATGCCTTAGGCAATATAAGGTGATTTAACCTGGTTCTATGCAGCTCATGGCTGGGCATTGGTCACGGAATACATTGACATGAATGGTGAAGGAGGTCGACGTGCATTGGTGGACCTCGGTACACAGCTAGCAAGGTCGTGACATAAATTGTAACACTTTCTTTTCTAAACAGCCATCTTGCAGATTACAATATAAATCTTGTTGTATTATTGCTGATGGCACTGTTAGATAGGAAACTAGCTGAGAGAAAGGCGAAACGAAGGAGCCCCATGGTGTGGTCGTGAACTTGTTAGCCCCGGAAGGGCAATAACGGGTTCGATCCCCACCCGAGACATCTGCAGTCCGGAGTTTTTCGAATATTTCAGCATAATTGTGTTCAAATGTAGTTATTTATCACAGTATTTGTAGAATTGTAAGCAAAATCGAAGAAGCTCTGAAATGTTTCCAGAATGCATAAGCACAATGAGGAAAGTCTGGGTGAATCCAAACGTGCTGAAAGTTATGTGGGAAGTCCGAACACTAGTGGAAGTTCTAAAGCAGGCGTTAAACAATTCGGATTTCATACGGAAACCTGCTGTGGATTTCTACCCCAGAAAAACGAATGGTGTGATGACTGGGCAGTACGTGAATTAGAAAGAATAATTTTTTATTTACTTATTTTGCGATTCGCATTCTGTGTATTTTTAAGAGAGACTGATTTTCAGACTTTTTTCGTTAGAAACAGGCTAAAAGTGCAAGTTGACATGCTGATCGAGGTGGGCTATATATTACTTTTAATTAAATATGTTTGGTAATTCAGCTTATTCTACCTCCCTTCTTACTTGAATAAGCCATTTCAGTGGTATGCAAGCTCTATAGGCGATTGATCTCTCCAAACCTATTTTACTTACTTCTTACTCAATGGCAAATGTGATATTATCGTGAGTATCGACATCTGGGCAAAATCCATGCTAAATTGCGATACTTCGTAGATTTTGTGTTCCTTTATCTCCAGAACTCACAACGGAACAACAATTTAAATTTGCTACGCGGAATGGTAAAATGCTTTTCTCTACCCTTATGGTCTTTTTGTTAGCTTTAGAAAGATTTTTCTCGAAGCTGAATTGTTTTTTAAATATTAAGCGGTAAGCCCGGTTTGTTGTGTTTATTATATCACGCTATTACGGTGCTAGCATGGGTGCATCTAATCTTCCAAAAATGAAAAGAAGAGTTTTGCTTATCATTTACGTTTCTTTCAAGGCATGCAAGAAAGTGGTGAAGAAATCTGTAATAGAGTATGAGTTAAGATTAGAAGCGACTCTGCTTGAGGTTTAAGGATTTGATAGACGTTTGTTAGGCTGGTGCGCTACTTTATCAGTTCTGTGGATCGAACAGCTGAGACGTCTTAAATAAACAAGAGTGGTAAAGAAGCATATTTACAACTTCATAGTAATGCGAAGAGTTCGGAAGTGAATCTTCTTACGGCCCATTAATTAGCACAGTGGTGTAGAATATGGCTTTATATTCTTGCATTTGCACTGTTCCGAACTCTACTGAAGATTTTTTTTTCCGAAACAGGTTGACGCGCAACGAATTAGTCGATAGGAAACCAAGTCTACTTAGTACAATACTTAGGCTAAGACCCATTTTGGGGTACGCGTAGAGCAGTGGTCATATGTGCTCTAGAATATCAACTGCGTCGATCGCTAGTTCAATCCTTCTCTTGGGCTCGAGTGCATTACTCTCTCCGGGGTCAGAATATGCAAGAAAGAGTTATTTAGAAGTGTATTAGCCCTGAGCTAACACATCGGTAGGCCACCATAAACCATTTGGTAGGCCGAATATGGATCCGACCACCTCAACGATGCTTTGATGAAGTCTGATGCATAGCGCTATGGATAGAAATGGATAAACTCCATGTGCTCTATCCTTTTACGCTTTATCATGTCTAATTAAATGTGCTATATCTGTGTGCCATATTTAGCTACTTAGCAAAACTGTAGGATTTTTAAACGGAGGCGAGAGGAACGTCGGATATTCGCATCGAATACCTAGCTTAATCTACGGCTGGCGAGAGCTATAAAGACGCACTAGATTTTTCATCGAAAAGTGAGACCACCGGAATTCAAAACGAGAAGAAACGGGTAAAAGATTACTCACTTGGATTAATCTTCACCTTCATCTGCATTATCTTAATCTTCATCTTAAATTTATTATCTTATATAGATAATCTTTTATACGACACATCCAGCCTGGCAACTCTGTCTAGTTAGATGCTAACTGTTACTTCTCCATGCCTTTCCTCATCCGCATATTACTGGTTGGGTTGTTTCATTACCTAGACTCCTGAGATAGTTTAGTAGAACGGTTCTTAGAGCTTCAACGTAGATACCTGACGCGTTTTTCATTCCGTTTTGCTTCGTATCTCGTATACAGTAAGAGTTCCCTGCTTTAAGAATGATTGATTCACTAACACAGGGTGTGACAACCAATTTTCGTTCGTGGAGGGTTGTGAAGACGTCTAGCTTTTTGCCACACCTAATATGAATTGAACTGAACTCATATCGGTGAACCTGTCACTTTGCATGTAAATATTGATGCATTTCTGTCGTATATTTTACTCTATTTTATTTTTCGGTGCGTTTTGACAGATTACAATATGTTCTTTCGAAAAATGTTCTGTGTATTAATAAGCGTTTTTCAATGTATCATTACGTTTTTAGAACATTTCCAAATTTTGTATGTGATGAAAAAAAGGTCCGCCGTCCATCCACCACAGTGCTCTCACCCTTTGGTAGCCGGTCACAACTTCCATATTAAAAGTTTGACTCATTATAACAGCAGAAAATGAAAAGACGGTCAGTAACTAAATAAAAAAAAGCAGTGCTGTGAAATTGAATCACGTCAGGTATTGGAATTGGATTTTGATCTTCTGTATATGGAGAGTGAAGATTAATATGCCGAAGGTATTGGGGAAGTTGGAGCGGATAGCACGGTGGTAGTAATGCTAATCATCACGAGCATGGTGCTAGTTCGATTCCGCTCCGGTACAGCCAAGTCTCTCATCCTTCCGGGGTCTGGAAGTTGGTAACGGACTGTCTGGGAAAAATTACTCTGCAATCCATTTGGGTATGCTCCAGCCCGGCTATCTCAAGACTCCAAGGAGAATTGCTTGACCAGCATTCTACGACATGCAAGATGGAATTAAAATCCTCAAGCAGCAACCAAAGCCGCACGTAAAAGTTGGAAAACCCTCGTGAACAATGTATGCGAGGAAATGAATTGGATGTGAGAAGTGCTAGGATCCGCACAGTAGACATGAAGACGGATCAAATAGAAATAAAAGATAAATAAATCGGGGAAGTTAGGATTCAGTCGTGCTTCATCGAACAGCCTGACGAAGGTAAATCGGACTATAAGTACGGAGATAGTGTTTTTTTAGATCGATAGGTAATGAAACAACGTAGTTTCATGCGATATCGTGCGAGTATTATACGATATCGTACGACGTACAATGTATACGATATTCTACACTAATCATTTATCACATATATTTGAGATCTGGTTGTGAACTGGACAAATATTTATGAACAAAAGAAGCGGCGGTCGTACAAAGAAAAGAAATGGGATTCATCACTACGTTGTGCCATTACTCATCAACGGGAAATGAAGTTTTCAGATAGCAGTTGAGGAGTTACCGAAACCCCATTTCGGCTTATGAATACAACTCTGTGGGGTCTGAAGTTAGAAGATCTCCAAGCTACCTCTTCTTTAAAACATTGACGACAAAGCTTAGTTTTATATGGCGGGAATGTGAGATTAGGCCTACCTGGCCTACAGGGATTAGGCCCCATCGATCACGTGAATAGTCATATTTAACTCACACAAACTCCAAGAGTGTTCTCCTAGGAATTATATACATCCGCCTTATTAGCAAAAGTTTTCGTGTTTCCCTGTCAAAACAAAAGTAGACTAATCACCTCGGCAATTTCGCGGGAAGCTGCCTGTTATACTGCCCATTTCATATATGGTACTCTATTGTATCCGCATTCCAGCAACAGAATGTGGTACTTCCACCGTTGAATTCAATTCAGGCAAACATATTCGTTTCAACGGTTAATTAACTAATAATTCCGGCGAAAAATTCTTCCCGAAGGCTCATCCGTGTTGGATAACATAAGGAGTGAATACAAAACCTTTAGCAAGAAATTTTGGAGGGAAAATAAATCGCCAAAAATAAGATGAGTCATACAAGACCTACTGCCCAGTTTCCCTCGAGATGCATGAGTCATATATAGGTCGTATCGGCACCGAAATATTCAGTCGTTAAGATGATTTAATGAGTGTATTGGAGGTCTATGGCGACATTGTGGAAAAGACGTGCCGACACCTTCATTTCATAATATCAGAGAAGAAAATGCAGAAATATGCTTTGAAAAAGAATAAAACTTTCAGCGTTGACCAAAGGATGCGCCATGCATTCGACTTATCTAAGCAGCGTGGTAGACGACTGAATGCATATCTAGTCTCTACAATGGCTCACATTGTCCTACCGTTGTATGGAGCCAGTGCTGTTACCCTCCCAGACAAATCTGGTACCAATTTGCCGATCCCGGAGGGATGGAAGCATTGATGAGCCTTAGACGCGGGAATCAATCCCATGTGTATTGCAGGGCGCCTCCGACCACTGCGCTACATGAGTTGCAAATGTTAAAAGAGATTATGAAAATATCATGAACCCATATCTGCTGACATAATTGCCAAACATGTCAATTATGTGCAGGCAATGATGTATGTGTTCCTGATTAGGTTCCAACAAATACTTTTTTTATTTTTGTCTTTTTCTTTTACACGACTCGTCTTCACATATACTGTGCGAATTCCACCACTATGTGCATTCGATTCGTTTTCTCAGATTCATCACCCATAGAGGTTTTTAAGTATTTCAAGCTAGGCTCCGACTGCTGCTTGAAGATTGTCATCTTATGGATATCATTGAATGCTGGTGAAGCCGATTCTCCCTGGAATATTGGGGTAGCATGGATAGAGCGTTCCCAGTTGGATTGTTGAAAGTGAATTGCTCCCAGACAAATCTGACACCACTTTTCCGATCCTGAGAGGATAAGAGCCTTGGTGAGCCTGAGGCAGAACCCAAGCAGCCCAGTACTCATGATTAACCCTGTCACTGCCATCCGCCGCCAGTTCTAGTAGTAATCACTAAAAGTGTGGATTGTAAAGCTTTTACGTCGTAGAAAAGATGAGGTAAAGATGAATCGTAAATTCTTTTGAACACTACAGAATTGGGAATCCTGTAATGTCTCCAAAAATACACTATGTGGAACCACATTTATTAGCACCATCTCAAAAGTATGGCAAAAAGCTCTGCGGAGCAAAGAGCTGGATGTGAAATCAGTTTGTACTGCCCATTCTGCTTCTCCAGTACCCAACATCTACGAGTTGAAGTCGAATAGATAATCAGCGGTTCTGTGCAAGTATTTAGTGAAGAAAGAACTTAATAGTTTGTTTAGGGCTTGATAGGAGGAGTTCTGTGATTAACAAACGATTTGTTTAAGTACAGTGGGTTTGTTCAGAAAGGAAATAGAGACGTTCTTTCCATATGGCCAGAACTGGAAAGGAAATCGACATCACTTCTTACTCCATGTGCAAACGTGGTGCCAGCATTAGTACACGGTGACTTGTGGAGCGGAAACTGGTCTTCCGATGGCGATGGTCCAGGTAGAATCAGATGGTTTTCCTTGAAATTTTTTTTCTATTTTACACATTATCGTGTGCACTTGAAGGTTGGTCAGTTATAACTCGAATATTGCCCAATTTTAACATAAATAGCGAAGGATAGAGTCGACATTGTTGAATAATCTAACAATTGGACTCTGTCATGTTGATGTTTTCTTTGCAAATGCATTGAATTACAGAGTATTAAAATAGCCTATCCAAAGGGCGCGTGTAGCGCAGTGGTAGGTGGCGCCCTGCAATACTTATGGGATCGATTCCCGCACTCTGGCTCAACAAGCCCTCCATTCCTCCGGAGTTGGCAAATTGCTAACGGACCTGTCTGGGAGGACCGAAGTACTGGCTCGTCACATCAATAGGCCACCGCGAGTCATTGCATAGGTCACATATAATTCAATCACCTGCATCGATGCTTAGTGAATTCAAATGCATGGCGCGTCCATCAGGATTTATCATTGCCGAGAGCTTCATCCTTTTTTTATCGAGTGTCTTTCTTCGCGTCTACGTTAAGGCTTATTACTTAAAGAGGAATTTGCTGTAATTACGTTAAAACTCTGAAACTGATTGGAGTTGGCTAGTGTAGTAAATATCATATTTAAAAGCTTTTTTCCTGTACAACTATTGATTCCACACTAATTCGACGTTCCAGGAAATCGGAAGAAAAACTTGGGACAAACGTTTAAAGCAGATTTCAGTGATTTTCGACCCTGCAAGTGCATTTTGTGATCCAGAGTACGAACAGGGTATTATGGATATGTTTGGTGGCTTTGGAAGCGACTTCTGGGTAGCCTATCATGCTGTACTTCCAAAACGACCGGGAAGAAAGCAGCGCGTCCTCCTCTATCATCTCTTTCATTCTCTTAATCACTGGTAATTTTTTCCGTAATTTTTCTTGCTCTGGTTTCTTCTATTTCTTTTATGTTGCCAACCTTCAAATTCCTTGAGAGTATAGTATCATTCTGTGTCTATTAAATAACTCCTACCGTAAATCGACTAGAAGTTCACAATTGGCTGTTTTTTCAGGAATCACTTTGGTTCTTCGTACAGGAATTCTTCATTGACAATGGTCAGTCAAATCCTAAGTTCGTGAATGTTCGTTCATTCATAGTGTAGCCTGGATTAGAGTGACATATACAGAACTTTTACGAATAGAATCAATATTGTTACAATTACGAAGGCCATCCTCGGTGAGGATGGTGGATTTGGTGATGTCCCGATGTACACATTTCGTCCGTTTGCTTGCTTATCATATTATCCCTTTTTAATGTGATGCATTTGAAATGTTCAACGTAGTACTTGTTCTACTGGTTTAAGTTAATGCTATTAATCCGCTTTTTTAAGAGAAGAATTTGCGATTGTTATATGCAGTCTACATAGTTACATGGTTGGAAGTGCACTTGTTTTTAACATATGCAGTAAACCATTGTAGTACTTGTTTTTGTACTAGTAGTAGATATGGTATCATCCAGGTATTTTCTTTCGTTTTCTTGCGTCTAATTTGCGTGCTCTTCCGTTTCATCTTATTGACGGTTCTTCTTGAGTTTATGATAATGTAAAGATATAATCTGAAAATTGTAGAGACAATTGGTCATATTTTCTAATTTCCGGCCCTGAGTTATTTCACGAGTCCGAGGTCCATGAGGTACATGAAAGCTATTGTGAAGGACATATTGTAATGTTGAAGTGAAAATCGTTCAATAAAAGCCTATAGGAAAATTCCTAAAGATCTCTTAAAGATTAGGTGGAAACATTCTTTAGGTAATGTTTTGGTCGAAAGTTAAAATAGAGCATTCAATTTCTACAATTACACCTTTGCGTTTTAGTATGAGCTGAGAAAGGTGAAACGATGTCGTCATGATATGTTCATGTCTATGAGCGACTTTATGTTGGGGTTTAACAAACCTATAAGAAGTTTGGCTATATGAACTTATTTGACGATATCCTCTTATCCAACCAACGTAACGTTCCCAGTGTTTCTACGAGAGACATCACTAGTTTGCTGTCATCTATCACTCTTCGCCTTTCTAGGACAAGCACTTTCTTGATGAAAATGTCATTTAGAATAGTTAAAATACTAATTTAATACCCTTTGAACCACGTGTGTTGTATATCACTTATTTGAGCCTGGAATAATTCGCCCTTTCAATGTTAGACAGGCTAATCTCGGCTCATTGCGAACTTTATGGATTTGAATAAGATCTGCTAGAGTCTATAGATCTCCTTGAGTGAGAACATTTAAGGATTTTCTCTCCATTAATGAGAAATCAGGAAGAGTTTATTTTTAATAAGAATGTCGTTTTCTTTAGATGCAGCCATAGAGCCTATCTTTACAAGCGAACCCCAGAAATGAGCAACATTTGGCATTCCTTGATTAGCACTTAATGCTGGGAACGATCTTATCAACAAGTAGAAGTTATGTGCCTGCCAGCCATCAGCCCTCACCGCTTTGCTTTCCCATCTCAGTTTTCGTACGTTGCTCTCACGAGTAGAATGGAACATTTTTTACAATCACAATGATCACAGTTTTGAGATATTTGCAGCACTCCGGACCGCAGGTGTATGCAGCGGGGAGGTTGCCGTGAAAACTTGTAAAAGGCAGTAAATAAAAAGTCAACATTGTGAATTTCAACTATGTGCTCAGCTTAACTGTGTTCAATGCCGATTTGAGCTCCGCAGATCAATCCCGTTGACGGATGATTGCTGTGGCAAAGATCGATAGAAATAGCTGAGAGACAGACGAAACGAAGGACCCGCATGATGTGGTGGTGAACGCGTTACTCCCCGGAAAGGACAATAGCGCGTTCATTCCCCACCATAGACACCTGCGGTCCAGAGTTTTGCAAATATCTCAGCAACGTTGTGGTTCTCCTCTATTTCACATGGGAATAGAAGCCTTAGACCGAGTATCCCCAAGATTGCAAGGAGAATCGACTCGACCAGCAGTCTGTGAAATTCATAAAGAAGATGAAATCCTTAAGCAGCAGCGGGAACAACATACGAAATGTTCGAAGATTTTTCGTGGATGATGAGTGAGAGGAAAACGAATCGAGTGCAAGAAGTGCTGCCTTCCGCGCAGTTGATGTGATGACGGACCTTAATGGTAATGAAATACTCCTTCTTCATGGCGGCGTACGATGGCAATTAATATCTACCAACTTTTGAAGCGTGTTGTCGCATTCAATAGGAAGTTGATGGTATCTATATAATGCCAAGCGAAGAAAATCGAAAAAAAAAAAGAAGAAAAAAGGAATGAAATATTTATGCGTGATGCAGCGCTTTCAATCCATCGAGTACGCACGCGCGATATGGATTGATCTCGACACATACGGTTTTTTTTTGGTCCATCGAAAAAGAAGGAAGTACCCTCATCGTTAGGAGTAGCGTTCCATGTTATAAAGCTAGCAAAGAATCGTTAGGACCCAGGCTCATGTACTTTTATTTGTCTAGCGTAGGCATCTTAACAACCCTTCTGTGATGATGCCTTTGCATACAGAGATATCTTTATGCTTTATTCACCAGCAACGATTTGTCGTAGAGCGAGAACCGATCAGACGAACAACTTTTTTGAAGTTTTTGTAGTCATGATCCGTGGTTTTTAATAGTAATGAGTTAAGAAGTAGCAAACCCTTCCCTCTTAAAGGGTTTACCGCCTCATCGTGTCATGGCTGCGAGATGTTCCACAATGTTGGGCTGCGATGTACAGCGGGGGATTCCTTTCTCCAGCAAGGCTTTCCAAGCTTAAAAAGAGGCGGGTGTTTCTATCACGAAGTCTGGTTAAGAGTAAACCAGAACCAGGAATAACTGCTATCTCGTTACCAAATTACTCAGAAGGTGAGAGATCTCCCTGTGATCCACGACGGTGACGCCGTAGGGAAGGCTTCGGCTACACCGACTTCGGAATTCCAGGAAACGATATTGGGTCCACTAGCAATACCCTATCCTCACTACCCGCACACTGGGTGCTCTCGCCTACAACGTCGGATGGTAAGACAACCAGTGAGAGGTGATAAAGTCACCTCAGGACGTCATTGGAAATGGACAAAACGAGCACGCCCACGACACACTATGAACACTGCTTCTTGCTGTGTACCTATAACGTCACAACAGTCTCTTCGGACGCGAATTTTACGCAATTGTTGAGGCCTTCAATTGCATCAAAGTCCATGTAATCGCCGTACAAGAGACGGAATGCAGGGAAAACCGACGTAGGCCAATTAAATGACGAAAGCCTTCTCGTTCATGGAAGGGAGTTTTCGTTGCGAAATGTCGCAGTGGTTGGCTTTGTAGTACACCTATCTGTTTTCCATCTAGTCATGTCATTGTACCGCTACGCTTGGCCATTCTTCGTCTTCAACTTCCGCGTCAAAAACGGCATCGCCAATTATTGCTCACCAACTTGTACACCTGATGAGAGCGAACTGAACGCCTTCTACAACATGTTGGAAGAAATGATCCGCAACGCCTTTCCATAAGTTCGTTGTTGTAGACTTCAATGCCAGATTAAAAATGGTCAGCAACGACTGTTGCGGAGACCGACCATATTGTCATGAATGCTAAGTGTTCAATGAATATGGAGAACAACATGTAGTACGAATTAGACAGAATTGGGAGAACAGCATAGATCACATTTGCGCCTCTCAAAGAAACCACCGACCAATTAGCGGGTCAAAAACCGTGCTCAACTTTTTTACACAACAGTCCTCCAAACGCTGTCATATACAGCAGAGACGTGGGCCGATACTTCAACCGCAACTTGAGAGATGCACGGAAATAGCAGTGGAGTGGACTCCAAGAGAATGCAAGCGTCTTCTTCAACGGCCACGCAAACGATGGCCGGACATATTTGTTACTGACACCATGCATTCGCAGATGGGAACGATTTTACTTCTACGGAATGTGCTTCCCAGCTGTCACAATGTTCAAAGCAGACCATCACCATGGACGACTATTACATGAGAGAGAAACGAAGGGAAATTGTACTGAGTCCTGCAGTACCAGTGAAGATCGGATATCCAAGCAGCCAAATAAGTAAGTAAGAAAATTAGCGTTTGATTGCAAAAATTATAACAAAAGCAATTGTGCTGCAAAGAAAGACGACAGGAAAAATAAGTCATATACACAATGTTGAAGTTTTTGTTTACTGTCTGTTATCTTTTTCTTGCCAGGTTATTAGGTGAAATACAATCACAGTGGTGCTGAGATTTTTGCAAAACTTGGACTTAAGGCCAGATTTGAACCCGTGGAGGAATGATCTAGTCAACACAGATGGGCATTGAACCGACTCAAACTGAAGCTACAGGCAGACCATTCCCGTTAACCGGTGATTGTTGATAGCGCCGTAAAGGTAAAAGGCTACATGAGAGAAAAGCAAAGCAAGGACTTCGACGGTGCAGTAGGTAACACGTGAGCGGGCTGAAAATTTAAGTTGGGTTCGAATCTGGCCTAGGGTCCGACATTAACTAAAGGGCATCGACGCGGAGTAGTGAAATATATGACTCGTATTGTGAACATGTAGAATGTCTATGACGTTCACTTTGATTTAAAATATCTTGAGATTCAGAATATTATTTAAGTCAAAGTACGTTGTTAAGTATTCAGTCTTCAATGTTCAATGTTTCCTATGCTGATTTTTCAACCTATGAGAAAATGAGGTGAAAGATAAAAACGGTAAATAGTTCGACGCTAATTTATGCCTAAAGGGTGGATTTTACTAAACATAACAGAGCATTTATCTGTTGAGTTTTTATCTTCTTAGACAAATGATAGCAGTTTATCGATACCGGAAGGTTGAAGCGCTTGATGTTTCGAGGTCGGAAGGTTGACGAAAGGACAACGTATGTACTGCAGTAAACCTCTAACTACCGAGATACATTCTTGGTTCATGAAACCAACACAAAGTTGATGAAAGAGCTTATTCGGCTAACGTTTTGACGTCTTCGTCATTTTCAGAGCAACATTGAGCCGAGTTGATGATCAGTAGCTGGTCGTTTTGGTGATGCGCTTGTAGGTTGTCGAATCGAGTCCAATCTAGTGGAGCGAGCACCGCTTGAAAAAAAAATTCTGAGATACACATGAGAAAGCGATTTTAAAATGCGTAATCTTATGTAGAATGAGTACAACCAAGCGACACTGTAATAGTGAATATGTAAGTCTCGAATATGTTAGACATGGTATTAAGACTTAGTGCGCGTGTGACGTACATGGGATCTCACGCCCTAGGCTCACCACGCATTCCATCCCTCCGGCAGACTGGTACCAGATTTCTCTGAGAGGATAGCAGCACTGGTTGGATACATCGGTTGGCCACCGCGTGTTATCGTGCAGGTTAGACATGCATTCAACCAGCTCCAACGATGCTTACTGAAGTCGAATATATGGCGCATTCCTCAGAGAGCCAAGAGTTTTATTCCTTATCCTTCTATTAAGGCCATCAGCAGTGTACCCTTTTCCGTAGACACGTAGGAATTGTCTTTAAAATTGAGTGCGGGTAAGAGTATCTGCACATTGCTCATTCATTCGTATAGTTTTGTTACGCATAATCTCAGATCAGCGTTCTATGTGAGTCATGAAGAACGTAGATATTTTGTGTACATAGACGTATTTGTAGATCTAAATGGAAAGGTTTTGGGAAATCATTGAAAGGAACCTTAAGCGGCTGCTTATCTGATTCATCCGTGTTACGAATCCGAAGTTGCCGAGTGTTGACGAAAGCTCAAAGTTCCCGATCTGTATTCCAATTTCGACAAAGTAGAGCGAAATTTGTAAGCTAACAGGCGGGATTTTTGTAGATCTCTTTGATTACCGGTAGAATTACCATGCATTGCCAAGTGAGTAACATAATTGCTCATATTTGTTGACAACGCCTTACAATAACACTGAACTATGACGGTTTTTTTTACTACATTTCTATGTGTTATTAGTGCATTGGTTAAATCAGAAAACCACGGATTGCGCTAAAAAATGATGTTAATTTAGAGTTTTCCTCTTCCTCTATGTTTCTAACCGACTGCTTATCACTTTTTACTGAGTAGGCTTCCGATTGGTTGCTTTGCCTATTGGCCATTTATTAGTTTGGAATACGTGATCGATTCTATTTCAGAAAGGAGTTTTATGTTTGCCGTACACTTTATAGCATGGATCTGGTGTTGGATATGTACAGCAACGTGTTTATTATTCGTATATTGGAAAAGGAATAGTCATCTGAGAGATGTTGCCGAAAACAATACGGAGTTTCGGAGTCTACAACGGCGTTTCCTGTTTCCGTATTTGGTTGTATTGTTCTCGGAAAGCTTACAGGTTTAGAAGAGCTTTTGTTGTATTATAAACATAAAAAGTTAAATTGATTCTCAAGTTAAAAAAAACTTTCAATTCTATGACGGAGTAGAACTAGGTTTTATAAATGGTACAACGTCTGGATTATTGTTAGTTGTGAAAAATGTTGTTTTCAAATGTAACCACGTTGGATGATCTAAAGTTCTATGTAGTCACTCTTTATTTGTTGCCTGCTATTTTTTCATGGCAGGTAGAAAAAAAAATAAAAAGCTCTTGGCGTTGATCAATTCTTGAGGGATGTGCCATGCGTTCGACTTCATTAAGCATCGCTTGGAGGTGATTGAATGCATATCTGGCCTTTGCAGTGACTCGCAGTGGCCTGCCGATGTATCGAACCAGTGCTGCTATCCTCCCAGACAAGTCTAGTAACAATTTGCCGACGCTGGATAGATAGGAGACTTGGTGGGCCATGGGCGCGGGAATCGATTCCACGTGTGTGTTGCAGGGCGCCTCTGACCACTGCGCCACACGCGCCCTCATGGTAGGGCATGATGTGAGATACAACTGTAATGATGCTGAGATATTTGCGAAACTCCGGACCGCAGATGTATGTGGCGTGGATCGAACCTTGTTACTACACTTTCCGAGAGCTAACGTGTTCTAAAGTTCTATGTTAATTTATACTTAGGCCTGCAGTAAAATATCAAAGTTCTGTAAAAAATGTTGTAATAGTAGCAATGGGAAGGGGGTTTCTAGTAACAATATCTAATACACATATTGCCATTATCATTACTACCATAGTTCTAGGCACCGTATCTCTACGCGTTTTACCACGACTGTCGCTATGTTCGTTCACAAATCGCAGCACTCTATGTAGTGGGACTTGTCTCTAATATTATATTTAGCTTCTATTATGTTCATTTGTCGGCAAGATACGGTGGTTATTTTTTATAATTTATTTTAAAACGTGGCGTGTTTAATAGAGGTAGTGTTTCTTCCCCGGTAACAGCTTTCCTGACCTAGTTGTCTGTAACGTTTTAACTCTTGTTTACTGCCTATTCTTTCGTCGTGACAAAGTGCAAAATTAAACGCAACCATAGGAATGCTGATTTATGAGCAACACTCGAAAACCACAGTATTTAGACTTTTATTTACTGCCTATTCTTTTTCCATGGCAAGGTGTAACGTGAAGTACGACCATAAGAATACTGAGATATGAACAAAACTCGAAACCTCATTTGGGATTCGAACCCACGTTTACTGTCTCAGGGTGCTCACGTGCTATCCACCACACCAACCGAGGACTTTGATTTATTATCTGAGAAGAACAAATTGACATTGAGCCCAGTTAAGCTGGTGCTGCAGTTGCAATCACAATCTTTTAACTTTTATTTGCTGCCTATTCTTTTGCTTAAATGCCGATTTCTGCTTCCCAGGTTATTCCCGTTGCCGATTAATTGCTGATAGCACCCGACAGAGTAAAAACGTAATCGAAAGAATGATAAAGCAACGGGCTCGTTGGTGTGGTGAATAGCACTTGAGCACCTGGTTCGAAGCCCATTTGATGTTCCGAGTTTTCCTTATATATCAGTATCCTTATAGTTGTCTATTTTTTTAGGACGTCGTTCACTCTGTCTTTTATGCATAGTTGCCGGAAGCCTTGGTTGTTCATGCAAGGTCTACCCTTCCTTTCCTATTCTTCTAGTTGGCCGAATTCTCGATGGAATTTTTGCCGCTCTCGTGACAAGCCCATTCCAACAGTGGTACTTATTTTGAAGAATATTGACTTTTTTCAATGCAAATGTCGTGTGTTGAGGCTCAAGACATGAATGTGCCATATACCTTTGGCCAGAGTCATTGAAAACGTTCCTTCAAAAATTCCCAGAATAAATGACATGATGTGCGTTTAGGAATTCGAACGCTTCTCACATAGTATCGTGTCGTAAAGTTTTGGAATTAACCCAATTCCCTTGATAATTGGTAATCTTACCCTGTTTGACGTGTGCTCCTGGCTATCGTAATGCAGTGCTTCATACTTCAAAGACTCATCTTCAACTCGGAAACTTATTAGCTTGAAGATTCCATCCGAAAGTCTTGGCACGGTTATTGAAACTCCACGGGTCGATAATGTTACTTAACTATCAGGTTCCCGGCTAAATGGCAGTTTGGCCTCAGGTAACACTACGTTTGTAGTCCAGAAATATAGGCCGTTATCCTTGAAAGAAGCAGGGTATGATTTGTGCAGTGAGAGCGGTGCTCTAGAACACGCGCAAAGTCCTGGTTCAATCCCGCCAGGTCATTGAGGCAATACATCCTTTTAGGAATGTATTGGCGTCTTATCACAAAATTTTAAGAAGAACAGGCTTAACCGGGACATACGAGTATTTATTGATGAAGACAAAAGTTGAGCGACAGTCTAATTTATACGCAGAAATCCGAGAAACTGCGTAGAATGCGGATGGGGATAATGTATGGACTGCAAAAAGTGATGGGATTCGCGCAACGTATATGATTTTGGGTCTGGTAGAAAAAAAACTAAGTAAGCAAGATATTGTATCCGACATATCTTTAGGGTCAAGTTAAGCCAGAGATTGATTGAACTATTGCATATCCGAAAAGTTTATCCATGAATTCCTGTAATAACTATCGCAGAACTGCTTCCATAGCCACGTGTGATTCAAGCCTTCGTATTTCTTTGACGTTTTTCGTTCAAATTCTTTTTCTTCTTTTTCCTGTTTTTTCAAATTTTCGAAGTTGCAACTGAGTTCTGCTAAAAGTGGCAAAAGTGTATTTTTGGCAGACTTTCTGCCTGTTCGCAAATGTTCAACTCTTTCACGTTTAGTGTGTTATTGTCAGTAGATGAATTTCTACCTTGTCGCCAAGTTGGGACCTATTGAAACATTCGCGACGAAGGTGGTATTTCAAAAGCAGACGACCAATTTTTCGTGATATGAGTAGTTGAAGAGTTGTGAATTCTACAGAAGAATACGGGCACGTGCAAGTTTGATAGAAAATTCGAAATCGATTCGATTTCGCAAATATGTTAAAACGTAATTTAAAAGTAAATTCTTAACGGAAGTTTAAGTATTGTGTACAGAGATTGGTCAGTGATAGAAATTCTCAGCTGGTCAATTGTCTTGTCAAGGCAGGGCGATATATATACGTATTGTGCTGTCTCAGCACTTATTGTGTTCGATTCGTTTAATCGCCTCCATTTCCATCCACTTCAATTTTCGAATTTTAATCCATTTGTTCAACGAACGTCTTCGGACTTTTGCGTATGGATTCGATCGTTGCTGTAAGCTTTTTAATCTCTATGAATACGGTTCAATGCTGATTAAGTCGATTCTGCCTGATGTCCTACAGCCATGTCAGGTCATCATCGCAAGCCGTCGCAGGCTTTTGTGGATTGAAAGGAGAGTGCGATCTATCAAGTTCCTTTTTTTATCCTCTCGGACTTATTTGGTACCAGCATGCTGAACTTGGAGGGAAGAGTGGCTTGGTCGGCCCATTGCGCGAATGCGGGGTCCGACCGGGTCTTTACAGGTGTTGAAGGACATCGCTACCATTGCGTTATATATATATATATATATATATATATATATATATCGCTCGGGTACTTTGGTGGCCCGTTCTCACTGTTTGTGCGGGTCCCAGCTAATCTCAATTTTTTCGGAGTGTTGCTGGTTTAGAAATTGTGGTTCCCTGGAGTCCCAAGATCAGCCCAACCAAAGTCTCACCGAGATTGTCACCACCACAGGTAGTCGCTGTCCTTGTGGATCAGAGGAAGATTTGCCACCATGCGGGGAAACCCCAGACTTCTTCTTAGCTTGGGAGATCTTGCTGGGGAAAGAATCCCCTTGCCTATACATCGCAGCGCGACACCCAGGAACACCTCCCATGAGGCGGCAAATCGTTAAAAGGTTATATATATAGGAAGAGAGAGAGAGAGAGAGGTAGGGAGGTGAGTTCACTACTGCCATCTGTGTTTTCACTGGTTTTCCAAAAATACTCCCTAGGTATTGAAAATTTCTCACAGGTACACAGATGAGCACCACGTAACGTTCGATTTCCCACCAGAATGGACTCATTCGACATTTCTAATACTCTCGTTGGGTGCCGGATTTTTGTCAGTCTTAGCTGGTATTACCTCGCATTTAATTGTTGGAATATCAGAAGTGATTAGTATACCGTATCTACTATCGATTATCACGTTGTTGATTGGTAGGCTTTCAAATTTCTATCAAAATGCTTCTCAAATGTTAATATACTACTGATAGACCTCTGTAGGTGGAGTTTTCATCGCCCGTCAGTGGACCGAGAATCGTCCCGCTGATGCGCCACTACCTTTCAGAAGAGTGATATCAAAAGCTCTCGGGGTAATGGTTATGGTGTATCCATATCTGGAATTTAGTTACTGTATTCGACTCTGTGAACTTACTATTAGCTATGGCAATTTCAGATGATTCGTTCGAATCCAGTAGCCTTTGTGGTAAGTGCGACGACGTGTTGTGCTGAGATTGCATCTCAGATGTTCGTTTTCGTGTGGGCTCCATTATTTATGCGTATCGAGCATAATGGTGGGAAAAGGTTGGGAGTACTTTTATTTCCTACTACTACTGTAGTTCCCGTTTTGACACCGTTTATAAATACAGGTGGAACTTTGCAAGTGAAACCGGTGATCAGCTTAGTTCCTGAAATTAGTGCTTTTTTATAAGAGCTAGTATAAAATGTTCAGGTTCTCTGCTCGCTAGCAACCGCTTTTTAGCTTCATTTCTTCTGTTAGGGTGTTCGAAAAAAAGTGCCTCCATACCTTGACATTTTTGGACCATACTGTTTTTTAGCCATTGCATAATCTAAACATTTAGTAGTAACTTTATCGAGATGTTGAGCGCTCTACTGAGCAACCTATACCCTACTTCGTTTTGCGTTCATTCAGCATTTATGCACTTGGCATCATCTACGCTTCATTCGTGGCCTCGTATCTTTGTGGTTTGCTACTGTTCTTTTCATTTGCGGACAAAGTTAGGAGCTCGAGGCTTTTATCGCTGTCTATGGCCTCCGCGTTTCTTGTCTTCATCGTTACGTGAGTCCACCCACCACATATGTAGTCTCTGTGTCAGATGTCGCTAATTTTTTAAGAACTATAGTTTATAGTAGATGCAGAGTGCATAGTTTTATATGAAGTCTCCGAATACGTTGAACTCATCGTAGTGAACATATGATCCAAAAGGCCGTCCTTCTGTAAACCTCAGTATAGATAATCGATGTGTTCTAACGAACATGAGTCCCACTCGCAACAGCACGGCTCTGAGTAAGGCAAAATCGCAGGCAAATCAGCCATCTACCAACAACAATAACAGTAACAACAACGACAACTTATGCAAACTTCGCATCAGTTTAACAAGGGCAGCTCGTAAGAACATATGTGAACATATGATTATAGAAGGCAGAAAACAAAACATTGTGATTTCAACTACAGCCATAGCTTAACTGGGTTCTATGCCGATTTGCGCTCCCCAGATCAACCCCGCTGACAGGTGATTGCTGTGGCAAAAAGTTCGATGGAAATAGCTGAGAGACAGGCGAAACGAAAGACCCGCATGGTGTGGTGGTGAACGCGTTACTCCCCGGAAAGGACAATAGCGCGTTCGTTCCCCACCATAGACACCTGCGGTCCAGAGTTTTGCAAATATCTCAGCAACGTTGTGGTTGTGAACATATGATTATTTGTATTTTCGCAAATGGTATAAGGGGACGGGTAGGGTCGCAGTAGTAATACCGTTCATCACGAGCGCGGTGGTGGTTCAACCCCACACTGAGCTCACCAAGTATGTCGTCTCTTCTGGTTTGGGAAATTGATGTCACACTTGTCTGGAAACAGTTCGTTTCCTACGAAGAACCCGCTGACCGAGCTATGCCAGGACTACAATGAGTATCGACTCGATCAACATTCAGCAACATTCATCGATAAGACAACAATCCTCAAACAGCAGCTAAAGCTAGACGCAAGAAATTAGGCGACCTTAGATGATGGATTCGAGGAAACGAATCGAAAGCGAGAAATGCTGGTATCCGCAAAGTAGATTTGAAAATATCAGGACTTCTGAAACAGAGTCTACGAGCGTTTCTCTCCAAAGGTTATCTTACTATCTTACTGTTATGTAGGCTATAGTATACGTTGGAATTTAGTATTCGTGAATTGCCGTTCTTGCATAATGATTGGAGAGCTACTCGTTTCGAACGTGTCTTCTTATGCATGGTGGTATTTGAAATCGCCTGTGGAGTCTATAGTCCAGCGATGGAAGCACTGCAGGTGAGTACAGACTGATGGATATGTCATTGAAAAGCTTTTGACGATGTATTTATAGTCTGTTCTGGAACTGGAATATTTTAAACAATCCGGCTTCCAATGTCTTATTTTACAAGAATAGTGTTTAGGCTACAGTTCTGCAACTCCCACCACAACGTTCTGCCGTCGTGGCTCTGATCCGCCTTCCATTGACGTTTTTTCTCTCGCTATCAATCTTGATGTTCTTTCCCACAATTGGTGGCGAATTCAAATTGATGACAATAATTGTCATGTGAGTTTCATAGTTTTAGAACAAGACTTTAAATACACTACACTAACATACAAAGTTTTTCGTTAGAAGTGAGTACAATAGAGCTGTTTTTTTGGTGGCTCGTCACTTTATCTCATACCTTAACAGTCATTATCCACTTCTCTAAGATTGTACACATCTTTTTGTTTTTTTTTCTAACGTCATGAAGGCAATAGAGATCCTACCGAAGGTTTTTATAGTCTGCTTTTTATCGCTACATTGCTGTCGTTGCTATTGGATATCATGGTAATGAATCGTGGCTACGAGCAGGATCCGGATCGATTTATCTTACCAAAAACGATACTCACTGATGTGAAACAAACGGAACAAACTACTTGCACATCTTGACTGGACTGCTGTAGATGATGAACAAGTGTTCCGCCTAACGTCTTGGCACGCTTGCCATCCACGGAAGAAAACGAAAAGATTAGTTTGCGTTGAGCAGAAGTCAGTACTTTCTCATAACATGCAATTGAGTAGGATGATATTAAGTGTACCTTTAAGAAATGACTAATATAATTCGTATCTATTGGAGATTCTTGCTTTGATAATATTTAGAACCGTTTGCTTGTGGATTTCAAATCTACTCCATTTAATGGTTTCGCCTTAATTTTGCTTTACTTTATTTTTTGTTAATTTTTTTTTCTTTAAAGGTTGGATCTGTATGGGATCATTTAATGGACGTTGCTATGTTTTTAGATTTTACCATTGCTATATTTTGAAAAGACACATCTTTATCTCAGTCGAAGAGATGTATTGCCATCTGACCGGCATCTGGTACATGTGTTCTATGGCCTCTTTTTGGATAGCGTTTTACGAATTTATATACCACGGTTTAAGAAAAAACAACGACATAGTTTAAGTTTCGGTAACTGTTGAAATTTGATTGCTTCGCTAAAAGTGCGAAATACAACTACAACGACGCTGAGACATTTGCAAACCTCTGGACCGCAGGTGTCTGCGGTGGGGAACGAACGCGCTGTTACCCTTTCCAGGGGTTAACGTGTTCATCACCACACCATGCAGGTAAAGATATTTATTGTCTGTTGTCGTTGATTGTGACCTTTCATTTAAGGTTTTTACTCTGTCAAAGTCCTCAACTTCACTATAAAAAATTTGTCGGAAATGTTTAAAGCTAGAGTTGATACAATTGTTCTGGGCACCTTATCGAATATTTTTTGAGCGTTTATGGAATGGATCTCTCTAGGGTAAAGTTTTCTTAGTTTGTTGAAATAAATGAAGAATTCGTTTCAATTATTGACAAATAGTTCTTGCTTGTATCGCGAAGTCTTCTTTTCTTCTGTTCTTAGCAAAAGTCATACATCTTTTTCATGAACACCTTTCTTTTTGCATCTTCTTTGCAGTTAGCCATTTCGATAACAGTGTAGTCTCAGTGTATGGCAAACAACGTAATCAGTACATTTAACCGACGTAAGAAGAGATGGTGGTGACGTCTTTGGCGTTCTCGTGGTAAAATTGGAAATACGTCAGCAGTTTCGGTATACAACAAATCTCACAATGCTGAAGAAAAAGTGGAATTGGATTGTTTGCTTTGGTGTAAAATAGTATTTAAGTACTTCAATGTAGAAACATTGTTCAAAGCCCAAAAGAACTATCTGAACATTTCGGAGAACATACTACTGAGATTTGTAGAAATGTTGATGTTGGATTTACTTGGATGTTGGTATCGCATCGACAAGGATAGAATTGAAGCCTATTGTGCGGAAATCCATTTGGGAACGACTTAGCTGTAAGAGGTTGCGAGGAAATGGAACGACTATAGGCAGTGATGAGATCCACACAATAGATGTTATGACCGTACTTGTATCAGTAACAATAATAATAATAGCGTTAATCTTCAATGTGCTGTGTACTATAATTTTTCACGGCAGAGTACGATGTGAAATACAACCACAACGATGCTGAGATATTCGCAAAACGTGAACACCTGGCTAGATGGAACCACGTTTACCCTTTCTAAGGGCTCGCGTATTATACACCGTACCATGGAGGCCCTTGCCTTGCGTTTTTCTCGGCTAATTTTCTACCTAACAATGCCATTAACAATAACCTTTCAGCAGGATTGATCTGGGAAGTACAACTCGGTATTGTAGCCAGTTAAGCTGAGGCTGCAGTCGAATAGGTGATTGACGGGCGATTACTGATGACAGCGTTACGTAGAAAACTAGCTGAGAGAGACACAAAGCAATGTCTTCAGTGGTGCAGTGTGTAATACGCGAGCCGCCGGAAAGGGTAATCGTGATTCGATCTGACCCGGTTTCCAAGTTTTGCGAATATCTGAGTATCGTTGTGGTAATAATAATAGTAGTAATAATTGCAGGAGCTAATGTCGTCTTTCATTCCTTCTCGACAAGTTTACTGCCAATACCAATACGACTACTGCAGAGGTAAAGATATGGCTTATCTGTAGTGGGATCCAAGTAGCTTTGCGTTTTTTAAAAGTGGGTTTCTATAACGGGATACTTGTAAAGGTGAAATCTCATTCTGATGACTAACCCATGAAACCAAGGGCTAGCATTGAACCCATTCATGGTAGTATAAAAATGTTTTGAAAACAAATAATAACACAAGCAACCTTAACAATTAGGTGTTCTTTAAGTGGTTGTACGATACCAAATGCAAGCAGAAACCATGAAGATTCTGAGCGCTTGATTTTTCGTCGATTACTTCGGCATTCTCAATAGAACAACGAACCAATGCTGATAATGATTCTATAAGGTTGTAAGAGACAAAAGAAGAGCTTCTGAATTCCAGTACCATCTAGTTGTTCATTAATGTCAACTGTCGCCAAAAATAGCAACAAGTTATTAAATATAACACAAGTTATAGACTAGATTTTCAAGTTAAATTATTAATGTGATTGGACCTCGGTATGGGAACCATTCATTTTCATCTGTAATCCCGTTAATCGAGTAACATAAGTTTGCACTAGCAAATTCTTCCTTCATCCCTATTGCATCACAGAGTTTCGCTCACTTAGGTGCCAAGAAGAGCGTCAAACTTTTGCTATGACCGCTCTGTTTCACCACTTTTGTGAGATAGTAATGACAGATAGCTCTTCCGGCTGCGATATGGCGTGAGTTATTGCTGCCCAGCTTTTCCTCAAATCGGATACCTTTCCCATAGGATGACACCCTAGTTGTACCTAGTAGATTAACATTTTTGAGAATAGCAGCCACGACAAGGCGTTGAAGCAATGGATAGAGGGTAAAAAGCCATAATTTCTGCGAGTTTCTATTACAACGGCAAATTTCGGAAAATTATGTTATAATCCCGGGTCGGCAAATTGATACTAGACTTGTCTTGGAAAATAGCAGAACAGACACTGTAAAGGCCAGATATGCTTTCAATCGCCTCCAGCAATATTTAATGAAGTCGGATGCATCGAATGCATGCTGCTTTCCTCAGGGATTGGTCAATGCTGAGTTACGAGTATATTGAGCCAGCGGCGCTATCTCTGCAGACAAGTATGGTACCAATTTTCCGATTTCGACGAGATGGGAGGCATGGTGGGCTATGGGCGCGGGGATCGATTCCACGTGTGTGTTGCAGGGCGGCTCTGACCACTGCGCCATTGGTTTAGCTTTTGTGAAACGACTCTTTATTTTTTGAAGAGTCTCACTTTTTCTCTTCTGATTTGTTCTCTGAAACGAGCGTGTGGTGGCAACAGATTACTTTGAGAGTTTGAATTAAAATGACATATTTTATCACGATACGCTTGTGTTATAGTATCTGGCATTAAAAACTCGTGGATAATCGTTTACTAAGTTTTTAAAATATTCAGTTGCTTGGAAGTATTTCAGTGAATGTCAATAGTAATATGAGAAAGAGAATACTGTAGTTTCTATGGCAAGCCTAAGTATTTCCAAGACTCTATGACGCGCTTAAGTTTTAGTAGAAGTTTTGAGAAAAGTCACAGATAAGAGGACTCATCTAGAAATAAATTCTTTTTGGGAGTGAAAACTTCTACCGAATGACTAAATCAAGTTTTATTGTAGAAGATACTAATGTGTACTTTTTTAAAGTACTGCGTAGTCTACTGCTATAATTGTAGCGTCCATTGATATTTATCAAAGAAATCTTAAGGTGTATAGGAATTGAACAAACGTTTTCGTTCCTCTCCGTCATCTCTCGATGTTTATTTCAGTTATTTGTTTAGCGTTTTATCATTCGTTGTCTCGAAAAAAGACAAATTAATGAAAAAACTGTGACGTCATTTAGCTCTGAACCAGCGGAATTATAGCACTTGAACTTGTTTTCTCAAGCTAATGTGATAGATATGGATTTTTAAAAAGTCTACATCATGTTGATGGCTTATTTCCGATTCAAATCAACACTTTACTAATAACTTTCCTTCATGTAAGTAAGTTATTATTAATGTACCGTAGTCTTACTCGGTATTCGTTCTGCAGAAGTACTAAATGAGTCATAAATCAATGTTCTAATAGTGAATGAGTGCAAATGATTAAATCGAGTGCAGTCAGTTCGTTCACCCTTAATAAGGACATTCATACTTATAGCGAAAACATGTCCGTATTTGCAAGCGCTGGTATTTTCACTAACATTTTTCAATGTAATTATCAGTTGTAAGCAGGTGGGATTGGTTTTACAATGAAGTAGAATCTACTTTCGCCCGAACCGAACATATTGACTCTTTCTCTTCTCTGGGATCTCGACTGGAGCACCACGACCAAATCGTACGAATGCCGACTTTCTCTTCTCAAGCATCTGAAACTTGAATTCGTAAATTCATTGAGGACTTAAATTAAGACGTTTCTTCAGGGATTTTATACTGAGCTGCTTGATCGGGTTTGTTTAGCACCACATGGAAAGTTGATGGTATTTCCACACCGTTCTGCCTCACACTTCTTGTTGAAGACTGGTGAATGTAACTCAAATAAGCCATATTTTGATTTCTAATAATGCTTGTAAAAGCTGAGGAAGAGTCTGGCGTTTCCATTAGGAAGCTTATCTACGGGTAAACCAATACCAGTATCCACCGCCGTCACGGTATGAAACTATTCGCATGGTGGCAAAGCTTCCTCTAATCCACAATGGCGGCGACCGCCTGTAGTGGTAACGACCTGGAGCGGGCAGACTTTGACCAGGCTGACCACAACACTCCGGTAAACCACAATGGCTAGACCACCAAACCTCCAAAAGAATGAAAATTATACTCGGGCTCGCATAACCAGTGAAGACGGGCCATCCCAGTAAGTAGGTAAGTAGATAGTGCTTGTGATAATGTTTCAATTTTTTATTTATTGACTGTTCTTTCTTCATAGCAGGGTATTATGTGAAGTACAACCACAAAGAAGCTGATATATGAGCGAAACTTGGTTGCTTCTATTACTTCATCCTTCCTGTTAAAATAAGTAAAGAACAAGTTCTCGGCGTTGATCAATCCGAGGGATGCGCCATGCTTTCGACTTCGTCAAGCATCATTGATGTGATGGAATGCGTATCTGGCCTACACAATGACTTGCGGTAGCTTATCAATCTGTCGACCCAGCGCTGTTATCCTCTCAGACAAGCTCGGTACCAATTTGCCGAACTCGGAGGGACAGAAGGCTTAACGGATCTGTGGCACAGGATCGAAACAAAGGCCACGTGTGTATTGTAGTACACCTCTAACGCTGTGATGCCCGCGCCATAGCTTTGCTATTGTGGTAATCAGTTTGCTGTAAAATGGGTAAGCTCAATGGCTTATAATCTAATTTTAAAATTTCACTCAATACAAAAGGTCTCTGATAGATGTGCAGTACTTCTTCCTCAGATTCGTAGTTAAGCACGCTTAAGGGGTGGCAATAATGAGCTACTTTTCTTCTGATTAATGACGTGCGGTCTGAATAGTGCATTGAAAAATCAAGTACCTAACTTTTTCGTGTAACGAGCATTCAAAGTCGATTGTGAATTGATTTCCACTCACACATTTTCGAAAATAAGTGCGCCTTCTAGCTCCAAGTAAACATTAGTTGATAGCCGTTTCTACTAATTCCAGTAAGGATCATAATGATTTAAAGAACGTTTAGCGCAAGATATGAGTTTTGTCAAATTTGCGCGGTAAAGTTCTGGTTTTCTAGAATCTAAAATTGCTTTCTTTTGCTTTTATTCCCTAGTGCCCGAATTTCAAACAGCGACATGATTGAACCAGCGGAATTCCGTTCAGGAAGACGTGGTCGTACTTCACAATATTTGCAGCCAACGCTTTTATATTTGAAAAAATTTTTAAAAATTTGAGTGCTGTCTTCATTTCTTTTCAACATCTCAATGATGAACATAAAGGTAACATTCTGACTGGAAAGAAGTTTGCATGCTCATAACAATAGGTTGATCTCCCTTCTATAATTCTAACATCTCAGATTCCCACCTGGAAAAATCATTACTCATTCGAATCGTGAGCATTATATTTATCATGTATGTGTTAGTGTTATATTTGCAAGTATAATGCTTATCTGGCAAAAGTGAGCACCATCACGTGATGTCGCTTCTAACTATTGCTATTCTTACAAGAAAATGAAATGAACGGAAATCGTGATGGGACTCGTACGATTATAAATATGTCGTTTTCTTTTCCAGCAATCGCGAAGTTGTTAAACAGCATACGTTTACTTCCATACAATAACATACATACAACACAACCGTAGCTGACGTTTCGGCAGAACCGCCTTCTTCAGAGCCTTGAAGGGTACACTAATACGCAACTTACTAGGTCAAACGCTTCGTTTCAGAAGGAATATAAATGACATGGGGCTGAATATCACGAGAAATGTGACTCGTTAATAATAAAAATTCCTTCCGCGTTGGTATAGGAGACGGAATACTTCAGTATGCGAGCAAACAACGCAGAGTAACTGAGTATGGTAGCTGCTAGCGACACCGTGATTTATCCGTATAGCTATTGTTAGAGCTTTCCCTAGGTTTTTCCACAATGTACTTCGACCACTACTGGTATGACGATTGATTTCGTTTAGCAAACGTTCAAAACAACCGCGATATATGAAAGCTCCTCTAGCGCAGTAGTTAGAGGTGCCTTGCAACGTGATCGCACGTTCAAGCCCGTTCAATGGGATCACCAAGCCTTCTATCTCTGCTGAGTTACCAAAATGGCATCACTTGTCTGGAAGGATTATGACATAGGCTCGATACACAACTGGGCCGTGCGAGCCACTC